ATTCATATAGGAGACAACAATGGTCAACTCATCATGTGTATACCCGGATGTGGTGGTACAGGAAAATCACAACTTATTCGTGCTGTTACCGAATATTTTGTTATTACAAACAGAATACAAAGGATGCGAAAGCTAGCACCTACTGGAATTGCAGCCGCTGAAATTGGTGGTATGACTATCCATTCATTCTTAGGTGAACAACGCAATTCTGGAAAGCCACGAACTATTAAACCAGGCGACTTGAAACTTGAAAAAGAATGGACACTTGTGGAATATCTGTTGATTGATGAAATGAGTATGGTTGGTTTGACTTTACTTGGAAAACTCAATCGAATTCTTTGTGCCGCTAAACATGCCGATCCTCAAATTCCATTCGGTGGTATAAACGTTATATTCTTTGGTGATTATTTACAGTACCGGCCAGTATACGATGCTCCGTTACACACTGACTTTTCGCCGGAAAATAAAAAGAAATTCAATAAATTACCTTCGGAAAAAGAAATACAACAGCGTGTTGCACGTTCTTTAATTCTACAAATTAATTGTGTGGTCAAACTTACTCAACAGATGCGAACTGAAGACACACGATATCTTCAGTTACTTGAACGACTTCGTCAAGGTCAATGTAGTTATGAAGATTATGAATTATTATTGACGCGCGTTGTGGGACAGCCAACCGTATCTCTTCGTGAACCGCCATGGAATCAAGTAAAATATATTTCTCTACTCTAAATAAACATATTTTCTCTGTTTTTCTTTGTTTTAGGCTCCCATGCTTGTATTTAGAAATGAAATACGAACGCAATTGAACCACAGATCAGCAATTCATAATGCAGTAGAAGTCGGTACCAATCTAATGGTATGTGTCGCTCAGGATTTTTGTAAAGGCAAGGCTGTGGAGGAGCCGGCACTTGTGAAAAAATTATTAGAACTATCTGATAGTAAGACTGAACATTTACCGAGTTTGTTACCGTTAGTTCCTGGAATGCCGGTTATTATTACACAAAATATCGCTATAGAACTGGGGTTAATTAATGGTATGAATGGAATCTTTAGACAACTGGTTTATGATCTTGATTCAGTGTCGACAGACAGTCTTTCAAAAACTTTTCCTGTAAACACCCAATATGTCCATAAACCAATATATGCATTGGTCGAAATAAGCAAATCAAAAATTGAATGTAATCTTAAAAATCTTCAACCAAAACTTATCCCAATACCAATAATGGAACAAACATTTCAGGTTGACATTTCTGATATTCTTCCGAAAACCAGCAACAAAAAATCGAAACCAAATAGAAAGGCAATGTTATCGATTAAGCGACGCGCATTACCGCTCGTGCCCGCCTATTCTATCACAACCCACAAAAGTCAGGGACAAACTTTAAACAAAGTTGTAATTGATTTAAAGTTACCAAAAGATACAGATGATATCGCTGCAGTCTATGTACCACTATCGAGAGTCAAACGTTTAAGTGATTTAATTATTTTGCGACATTTCGATTACAAAGTCTTACTGATTAAACCCAGTAAATCTCAAGTCGCCGAGATGCAAAGACTAGATAAACTCTACATCGAAACACAGATGCGTTTTTCAGAGTGGTTCTAACGAATTTTACAGAACACTCCAAATCTTCATTACTTATCATCCATTTTTCGCATGGGATTTATTTGCATCTTTTGTAGTTAAACAAATCTCTTGTATAATTCAAACTTTTTTTTCTATTCATTATTGTTTGTAAATAAAAGTGCAAATTTTCATTCGAATTTTTCCGCAGATGTATTTTTTGTTTAGCTTGTCTGATTTGTATTCATTTACATTCAATATTCACTTGTTTTTTCTTTTCCTTTGTGTAGCTGATCATTATATCATTAGTGTGTCTTTACTTCATATAGAAATAAATAAATACAGTTTATATTAGAAAGTATTTTTCTTAACTGAAACAAAGAAAAACAAATATCAAATTGATAATAATATATTGTATATTGTGATATTTTCAGTCGAGGGTAATGCGAGTCACCACTGACGAGCGTTATTTATTTTTTTGGTACAATTAAAATGGGTAAACTTTGTCGTTATAATCAACGTCTTTGTTTATTTATTTATACATTAAAATCTTCTGCAAAAGAATTATTTGGATTTATTTTAATGTTTTCAGTTATATTTATATCATTTCTTTGTTTATTTTATTTCTTATTTTTATCTGAATTATCACAATGTTCAAATTTATTAAATACAGCTGAAATGTTATCTGAAATGGCATTAACAAAATTTGATACACATGAATTAATTGGAGCTTCGGTATTTCTTGGTCCATTTTCTTTTACATTATTTATTATTATTGTTGTATTTATTTGTATGAGTATGGTTTTTTCAATTATTCGAGGGAATTTTCTTCGAGCAAGAGAAATTATTGATGAAAAAAAATCGAGATTTATTTTCATTTATGTTTCAAAAATTTCAACGATGGACAGGTGAAGAGAATAAAGAATTTCTTGTTATATATTTGATTTTCTTATTTAGGATGGAAAAAATTATCAGAAGAAGATATTTATGCAGAAAGAGATGCTCAAATGCGTGTACAACATCGGGAAATACTTGAGCAATTTCCAGAAAAAATCGATCAATTATTAAATGCACTTCATCGTGTATGTTTATTTTCAATTTCTTTTTCTTTTCGAATTAAAATATTTTCATTTTTATTTATTAATTTATAGATTTATATTGATGATATTTAACAAACAAACAAATAAACAGACACTTTATTTTTTTTCTTTGATCGACTAATAATAATAAGATTTTATCCACCCTTAAACCTAATAAAATAGAACATGTTTTTCAGCATTAGAAAAGAAAATCAGTGTGGATTAGTCAATTCTCCTGAGATATAAAGCCAATGCTTGAATTCATCACTGAGAACAAGTACAAGTGATGAACTGATACTGCGATACATGTTTGATAGATTGCCCTTGAAAAAACCCAATGGACTTTCAATTAAAGCAATTTTACGAGCACAATCCCATGCATTTTTATAGACGACATCATGGCGACCACTTTGCATCATCAGACGACTAGAGAAAAAATTTTTAAAATTACTTTTACAATTGTAGTCAGACATCGGTTTTAACTTACCGTCGAATAGTATCAATTGGATATGCAATACATTCCGCTGATGATGTAGTAAATTGTGCACAGAGAAATAGATAAAGAATATGTGGTCTTGAATTATCAGCAAACAAAAATTGTTTTCCTTGGAAAAAAGCAAAGAAGATTTATTCTGTAAATTATTAAATTACTTTCATACCAGCATCGTAACCGCCAAAATAAAATGCTCGATAGATGAAAATACCAACTACACTGATGGTGAAACCACGATAAACGCCTAATCAATATATTCGAATGTATTACTCTTCATTTTCTCCACTAGAACAAACCTAGAACGCCATCCGTTTTCCAAGTTTTAGCAAGACAATCAGCTGTGCCTCTAAATTGTCGTTCATTAACAGCTTTACCGATATCGACAGCGAGACGTGTTCGAGCAAATTCCAAAGGATAGAGAAAGAGCGAACCTGTGGCTCCAGCCATACCACCGGCGAATAGATTGCCGAGAAAGAACTTGTATGGATTTATTTGTGGATTATAGTTAGCGAATATGTTTTCATAACGCTCTTTGCAGACAAAATTCATCGCTTGCTTCAAAGAAAAAAGTAGATGAAATGAGAATAATAGAGAAACAAAATAAGTGAAGAAATCTACCACGGGAAAGTAACGTATAACGCTCGCTAAATTACCACGCCATAGAGATAAGACTCCCTCCTCTCGAATGCATCGAACGAAACAATCACTAAATCCTTTGTATTTTCGTCCCATAACAATTTTTGGATTGATATCTTGAGTTTGTAGTAAAAGCTTTACACGTTCCATAGGTGCAAATACTGTTTTTGAAACGACTCTCTATACTCAAAACAAGAGAATATTTCGTGAGAAAATAATTGAAATACATACCGCTAAAATTGAGAAATACAAGAGTAAAGACAAATCAGATACATCCTAGAATTGTGAACGAACCTGTTCCACCCGCTAGAAAAAGTAACACGATATCTTTCGTAGGAGTCATCGATCGATCAGAACTTCCTTTTGATCTATCCATTTCAATCTAAAACAAATGACGAGAGCGAGCAGAATAATTTATCGCGATTATAATTTAGTCCAGAAAACGAAAGTCTACTTGTATTCTCTCCGAACATCATCGATAACTTATTAATGGATCCAAAAACATTATATTTCAACCGCCACTAAACTCTGATCAATCAACAGAAACAGACTTCCAGCTAATCGTATTTTACGATGAGATATATTGCTGATGGATCTAACCATAGGCAAATACAATTTCGTACTCCAAAATGAGAAAAAGAAAGCATAATATATTGTGGTGATATTTCTATCAGTTCTCATTGTAGAAGCTATAGCTTAGCTTAACAAGATCCCCTCTTAAAGTTCACTACAAAAACATCAACAACAAAGTGTATACAGATTTCTTTTCCCTAGCACTGATCACCCATAATTTCTTGATTATAAGTTATACATACTTTCTTCTTACAGTTTTGTGAATAATTGAACTCGACATCTTTTAAATTTAAGTTGAAATCTGTACGATACGAATTAGCAGAAGTATTATCAAAACATTGGCAATATTATTATGATAAAAAATACAAACACGTTTTATATTAAAAAATTCCCTCGACTGAAAGGAGGGTCATACGAAAAAAAAAGTTTGTATGTTTGTCTGTTTGTCTGTTTGTGTCAGGGTCAAGGGACAAAGGTCAAAAAAACATTTTTTTTTGAAAATGCTCAAAACTTCATGAAACATCGTTTGGGAGGGATCCTGAGGCTCTCGAGGTTGGCTGGAGGAGGGATGAAGGAGCAGGGACGTGACAGAAATGAAGAAAACATTTCTACCGCGCCTGAGAGGAGGGCTACATAGAAGAGTTGATTACGAAAAAGTAAAAATACACTCGGTTGACTGTCGCATACTAAAGGCCAGTAATCCAAAAATACATTCATTCACAAGTTACATACTGGAGAGCAATCTTAAATGCTGAGCTTCGATATATTGAAAGTTTTTGTAGGCCTGGCCTTTGAGCCTTTTAATTAAGGAGATAGCCTCAAATGTTCAGACGTTGATAATTTTAACTATGAGATGCTGATGGAATGCTAATTAATTTTCGATACTTTTTAGTAGTACACGGGTAATTATATGATAGATAGGGACAGCTTTGGAGCGGCGAGTTGTGAGTGGCGCCCCTGTGGGGCGCCGACGAACAACGAGTTGCGCCTGGTAACCTAGCCAGTTACGAAAGTATCAACAATGCGACACGTTAGAATGCGAAATATATACAGAGTCTTATTTGATCTTACTGAAATTATCTTTCTTTTAGAAAAAGGAGGACATGTTTAAAGGTGTAAATCCATAAGTCATTTATAGCGGACTTCTGCTTCCTGTGAAGAGTAATTGTCAGTCAGGAATATAAAATAATTAAAAGCAACACAAGTAGTCCTTTGACTCTTTTGAAGACTGTGAGGCGAATGAAGATCAGTCTCTGAGGACCCTTTCAAAGGTTATACTTCTGTCTTTTTTTTGCATAAAACGCACATAAGACTATTGTATTTTGAGTCAGTGGTTCAGTCGAGGGCATAGCGAGTCTGCCTTGACGAGCGTTACTAGTGTTATCTGTCGACAGCAGAGGTATGGAAATGTTTATTTTAACGGTCAGATACATGTAAAAATAAATTAGGATCGAATAAAGAGACAATAATGACTTTTCGAAAAAAAGTGTCACACCGTTACGTTTATATTTTGGCATTTATTACCTCATAAAAGAAGATAGGAGAATTTTCTTTTCACCATCGTGTAGCGCGTAGAAAGCTCTATAAAACTGATTATTACCTATCTACATTTATATTTTAAGTTTCGCAGGAAATCAAGGATTAATCATGGGCAATCGAGGTTGAGGGTCCTTTTGTGTCACACCGTTACGCTTGGTCAAGCAGAATAACGCATTGGAGTGGATTGTTCGATGGAAACCAGGAGAAAATATGAAGGTCCTAAACGGTATTTTGGTGTATGGGGTGATGTTTCGTGTCACTGACGAACATCCAGGACGATTACCGCAAAATAAATGGTGGAAGAAAACACGACCTGAATATTGGGACTTTTTCTAATAACACCTCGAATGAAAGAGATTTTTTTATTGAAATGGGAATCTATTCAAACTTTTGTAGTTACGTGTGACGATTTTTTGATGGAACTACGTCGATATTGATTTCTTCTTCTTAAATCGAATTATTTTGATACAAAACACGTGTTTATATACTTGTTTACACAGAACAGAACGCAAGAAAATATCATATCAGAGTACATAAGAATGTTCTAAAGTAAAGATATGAGAAGGGTAGTGCACCGGATAAGAAAAGTCATATTACGCGTACAGCGCACGCCAGAGAGATTGTCACATTAAGGTTAAGTCTGAACTTTAAGACAAATACATTCTCAGACAAGTGCGTGTAAAATGCAGATGATGATATCAGCAATCATGAAGAGCTCGATTATTCTCACTACAATCCATTATAGAGATTCGTTTTGATTGTAGAGAAGTTTAAAAATCATTTACAAACCTTCAAATTTACCACCTTATACACATAAACAAAGCGATTCATTAGTTTGTTGCCTGTTGAATGACGGTTCAAACGTTATAAGAATGAAGGTTCTACGACTCACTGCAAAAAAAAGATAGAACTGCAAAATTGGATGTCAGATTCGTGCAACTCCTTGTGGTATGGATTTCCTGAGTCAACATGTAATATGTGATAAGACTCTAAATAATTCTCTCTATACTCAATTATACATGAGAAATCTGAAAATCAGATTTAAAAAAGTAAAAATAGAATGGCGATGAGCTGAGAATTGTTTAATTTTGAAATCCCGTCAATATTTGCATTACTGGCAGCTAACGTCTCATTGAACAATGTTTTCTATGAAATATAGGGAAGAAGATCCGCTGTATGTTCATTGCACAACACCACATTGTTCCATATGAGACACAAATAAAATGGAGTAAAATTTGAAGAAATGATTATTTAATATTTTGGAAAAAAGTCTTGAAAGGGCGAATGAGTTTTACTCAAAACACTTTTGAAATAGAATCATTCGATAAATAAACTTTTCCATTTATTCTCTCCCTAAACTATTCAAAACAATTTCCTTTTCTCTCAAATTATGACAATACTAAAATAAAATCTGACTTCTGTTTAAATATTCATTAAAAAAAGTAATATCTTTTATAAAACTCTTCATCTCACTTCGCAGAATCGAATAATTTACATTTACATCTTTGTACTTTGTCGCTCCTATGAAAGTAAATGTTGAAGCACGAAGAACAGTTTTTTTCTCTTTTCTCTTCGTTAGGGTTTTCTCTCATTTATAATTTCTTCATCTTTATTTGCTATTTTTCCAGTATTCAGTATTGGTCAAAGTTTGGAAGCTAATTAATATTTGTTTATAAGTATTATTTTAGAAATCAATTACAAATCGACACTGAAAAGTAGATCAAACAGTTTAATTAATAGCACATTAAATTGTGTATCATCGGCTTGTCGAGAAGAAGATGACAATGAGTGTGAGACGTTTAATTCGTTGGTTTCATAATCGGATTCAGAATTACAATCTTTTCATCACGGGTGAAGATGAATATGAAGATAACATTCATCAGTCAAAAGATCCAACAACAATTCTCAAACAACAACGATATACAACTTGGCTTTATATTTTTCTTCTTATGAGTAAGTCAAATCATGTTGTATCTCTTGTTCGAAATATAGTTACTGACAGATATATATATATATATATATATATATATATATATATATATTACCGAGAATTTGATTTGACTTTTAGTATTTCTTTATACACTCTTCTTTATCGCATTACTGAGTCCTCAGCGTCGAACAGTGATAATCGAAAATATCACTCCAATTGTCTTCAAAGAACTTTCTTCTGAACATGGTGAAACACTTTCTTGTCCGTGTTCAACAATTACGACGACATATAAAACCTTTGTTACAAATAATATTTCATCGCATCCTGTATGTTCAAGTGTTTTTGTTAGTAGAGAATGGATTGAAGCGCTCTATATAGCAGATGCAAGTCGATACTTAGTGATAGACTTTCGAACAACAGCTAAATCTCAAGTGAGTGTATTTCTAATATAAATCACAACGACCAGATTAGGAGAACATAATTTCAATTCTCATGATCATTCTGTTAAACTCGATATGTATATTGCATTGTCAAGGATTATTCTTATTTCTGGATATTTGCCAATACTCACTATGAGAAAAAAATATTGACACAAAGTTAACTCTCAGTAGCGCTACGATTGAATAAGATCATTTTGAATCAATATCTCTCTTCACTTTTAGTTTGATCTACTAGCCGCATTGTGTACAGCCTCAAAAGATGCCGTTTTTCAGGCATTAAATGATATCGACAATCAAGAACTAGTCACCGTCCAACTTCTTGAAACAGCAAACGTTCAATCTCAAGTCGAAGCAAATGTTGATTTCATTTTAGCGATGGCATCATCGAAAATCACTTCAATTTTAAATTTTCTCCAAGTTTTATATCAATCAAATACTTTAGTTTCCGCTCTGAATACAAATGCACTGGTTACTTTCTATGATTCGAGAGCTTTAGGTACTTTTCCTAAAATGTATATAGATCCTACATATTATTTGCATTTAACGCCTAATTACACCAATTTGGAATATGCTTTATCTTGTGCTTACGGTAATTCAACTGCTCCAGCTGGCATTTTCACAATGCCAAATCCGCAATACAAAGAAAATCATCAGAACTGGGCTCATGCTCCAGTTTCCTTGGCACCGTATGCTTTCAATATGATTGATGGCTTTTTTGGAGGATGTACTCCACTTGACGCTCTTCTTGCAAGTACCCTTGATTGTCTGTATAAAGTGAACTGTCTCAAAAACATGACTGGTTACTTTCCACGTCTTGATGATGTATGTTTTAGATCATTTGATTCAGTAAATAATTGTCTTCTTTCAGACAAAATCATTTTGGAACAATACACTTCCACCTTCAGAACAACTAAACATTTCTGTGAAGAATTTAATCAAAAGTCTTTTTATTGAAGGACGATCGACAGAAGTCAATTACATGAAATATTTTAATCAATGTTCTCCGTCATTCTGCACATATACAACAACAGATCAAATTAATTTTTCTTATATAATTACTCTTCTAATTAGTCTTTATGGTGGTTTAACTGCTATACTTCGATTCATTGCACCTGTTTTGATAAATGCGATACTAATCGTCAAAAATCGTACTCTAAAGATCAATATTAATCATCGTATGTTGATTATTATTCAAAATGTCCTGAATAATTTGTTTTTGTAGAGCGATGTTTAACATCGATTCACAAATTGGGCGAATGGATAAAACAATTGAACTTATTCAAATCAGTTGCTGATCGAACAACTGATGATATTAAACAACAACGTATTACAACACGTCTTTATTTGATTCTGTTCACAAGTAAAAAATTTTGATTTCAGATTTATAAGAAGAAGAAAATGAAAAATAATACGCAATAAAATCAAATGTTCATTTTTTTTGTAGGTTTAATTCTTATTTTCTTATTGTATCATTCATTCAATACGCAAACAGTTATAATGGTACAATATAATCCATCATTTCTTACCTACAAACATTTACAAACAATGTATTTGAACACATTGAAATGTCCTTGTTCGAAAATAGCAATGCCCTATAAAACATTCACTTCATTATCACCTACTTTGCATCAAATTTGTTCAAGTGATTTAATTGGTGAGTCATGGATTTCATTTCTTGTCGAAGTGGGAACGTATAATCCTGAAAATACATGGGTGACCGAAAGTGGCCGATATTTCCAAATGTTATCGTCTCTCTGTCAATTAATTAAACAAACAATTGATGAAAATGTTCGCCGTTTTTTATCACAAACTTTTGCTACGTCACATGTACTTATTGAACCTGATTTTAATGCTCAATTAAATGCAACTATTTCACAATTTACACAATCAATAAACATTAGTTTTAGTCTTTTAATCGAAGTAATGCGAACTTTTATGCAAATAGATCAACCTTTGACAATATTCACAACAGCAGATTATTCACAACTAATCCCATTGATTGTTGTGAATAATAATACTGGTCAAGATGAGATACAAGTATGCCTTTTCTTTTCTAAAACGATTTCTTACAGTACTCAAATACTTCGTTTTGAATAAGGAACTTTTATTTTCCTCGTTCACATTACCATACATAGTAGATGATCAATCAAGTAACGTGAGATGTCTGCCTAAAAAAGTACAAATACGTGAATACGAACACGAAAATCAAGCGTTAACCGTATTTATGAACATCACAAAAGAAAAACTTCACTTACGCGCAATAGCAATCTGAGAATGAGGAAACGACATCTCCTCTCACAGAACTCAGTGAGAGTGTCCACCACCGTCACTTCTACTCAATATACTTTGTCGCGAACATTATATGTATGATCGAATGCAAAGATATTCTTTTATTTCAAGTACACTTTCTACTCATATTTACACAGCCTTCGATGAAATAGTAGTTTCTTAAATTGTGCAGAAAACTTTGAATCTTAATCAATACGAAAACTAATGTTGTCTTTTTTTTCATCCAGATCAAATTTCAGTGGAATACATTACTTAACGATGACGTCTTCGACACAAATTGTGTTTGTGCCTTTGATACTCAATGTCGAAGTCCACTGCGCGTCAAAATTATTGATACATTAAGTATCTTGACTCAATCACTAAACTCCTGGTCCGATATTATCGGTTATAGGCCATTAGGTATGTTTGAAGGATGTTTCACTATTGATTCACTTCTTTTATCAACACTCGAATGTTATTTTTCAACCCTCGATTGTTTGCCGATCATCTTATACAATTTAAATCAAGCGAGAATATCCACAGAGATACCATGGATCAATGTTCATCCACTCTTTTATCGTGAAACATCAACTCGTTTTGCTCGAAATACTTCACTGAAATTGATATTAAAAGAAATCATGATTGAACAATGGAATCCATCATTCTTATTCAATGATTATTATGATGTTTGTGCACCAGATTATTGTACTTATTCGGAGACAAAATATGGTGAAAGTTTCATTGAAATTCTGATCGCATTAGTTTCCATGATTGGTGGTTTGATGGTTGTGCTGCGCATCATCACACCTCTACTTATCAAATTGATCTTTCGTGTATCACATCCACAAGTAAAAAATCGACAACCAGGTAAATGAGAACATGATTTCTAATCAATCTATTGATTATTTCAATTTTTATGATTGAAATCGTTTTTAAAATATGAAACTTCATTCGTGATATTTATAATATTAGATGTCTGTTGGCTCTCTTTTGTCTATAGAACGTCGTAACTTATCCTATCGATTCAAAATCAATCTGAAAAAACTGAGTATGTTCGTCCAGAGTAAACTGCTGAATCTAAATCTGTTTCCACCATGGACTTTTGGAAGTGATATCGAGCGAACCACAGCAAAATATTATGGTCAATTATCTACTCGTCTTTATATCGTTGTTCTCGTCCTCAGTATTGTCATCTCTGCTCTCTACACAGTTATTCGACCTCAAACATTGACGAAAACATTTGTCAATCCATCCTTCGATACCTATTCTCGTCTCATTCGAGATCACAAAAATGAACTTCAATGTCCCTGTTCGACGATTTCATCACCATACAAAAACTATGTTGCAATACAACCCATAATTCATCAAGTAAGATGTGCACAAGAGAGAAATTTACTAATCCAAATGTTTTTATAATTCATAGATTTGTTCAAGTCGTTTTGTTTCGAGTGCATGGCGAATGAATCTTACAAACGATCTCACTTCTGATTTATCTACTTATGATGAAAAAGACTATCGACGGTTTCTCTCAGCTCATTTGCAATTTCTGACTCAATTATGTGAACTTTCTAATCAATCAGTGGAATATTCTATTCAACAAAGTCTTTCTTCACTTTTCATCACCAATCAACTTTTGTCAGAAACATTGTTTGTCCCACATATTGAATCTATGATTAATATGACTAAATCAAGTGCACCTGTAACACTTGCTCGTCTTCTCTTTCTTTTACGATCGACAAGTCGTGGAAATGCATTTGTTTCAACATATGGAACAAACTTTCATTATATTATTCCTTTTTATGTCACTTTAGGAAAGGTTGTTTGTCACACTGAAGCAGCAATTTATGACAATAATTGTTCATGTGGATTGAATACAACTTGTACTGTACAAGCCAGCTTCACTACAGCAAATTCATCAAAACCTGTTCCAATCGACGGATTGAAAATAGGTTGTACACCAAGTGAATCATTTTTAGCATCAACTCTCCAATGTTTCTATAATTCATCATGTATTGATCTCATTTATGAAATGGCAAACTCTCGTATGAGCGATATTCCTGATCCTTTGAACACAACTATCAGTCGATTTTCAGTAAATATGACTGTTGCTGATCTTGTCAATGAATTATTTGTTGAAAGATGGTCAACAATAATGGATTATTCATCATATTTTCATATATGTTCACCTAAATCCTGCTCATATACTTACAGACAACAGCTCGATTCATTTTATACAGTTACTTATCTTCTTGGTCTTTATGGTGGACTTTCACTTATTCTTAAATGGATATGTCCAAAAATAATTTATCTCATGATGAAATTCTATGAAAATCGAAAGAAACGAAGACATTTAGTCGAACCAATACGCAACATTGAGACAACAACTAATGGTATAAAACGCAAGTCTTTAAATACTCATCAAAAGACTACTCCTTTGGAAACAAAACCAACGGTTTCAATACAGACGTATAACTTTTCTCTATTTCATTGATATCATCATAGGAAATTCATACTTTTTTGTTAGGATAAATTCATTTTGGACATCATTGGGCTATTGTGGATTGGGTTTAGTGTTGTTTGGACTTATTGCAACACTTCTTATCGCTTCAACTTTTTATTATATTCGACAAAATAACAAACAATCTAAAACAATAAGTATAATATCGAAACGATTGTTGTGTATTTTATCTGATTGACTGTTTGCATAGACGATGTCTCCAATAGAACTGTTAATTTCAACATTAGTATATCTAATAATGTTACCCTGGAAGTTTTCAATACAACCAACACTTTTACAATCCAAGGTGAGTCAAATGAATAAATCTTACGTGCGCAGACAATAGGAGGAAGCTCGAATGAATTTTTAGGTCAGCCTAAATTGTATTTTTCATGAACCCGTACCTAAAAAATACCTCATTAATTGTTTCAAAACAGCTGGCTACGAGAATTATTTGTTTATATCGTTGAAGATTACAAATAGAGAAATTCTTTTCCGGTCATGTACATATGGAAACGCTATTTAGGATAAATGATAAATATTCAAATTACATTGGCCAAGACCCATAGAATGCTGTTTTTATTGAGGATAAAGTGACTGAGAATCACTTCGTGTCTATATAAGAAAAGCTCATAAACAGCTGTAATCAACATCTAAAACGACGCACTAGGTTGTCTGTACAAACACTATGATTTCTAGTTTTTATAAGATTAAAATTCATGATCCATCTGAATGCAAAACAGTCTTCATGGTGATTTTGACTAGGCGATCGATAATTGCATCAGACGACTATTATAACATCCGTTTGTTACTTATATCAGGCACTTCCATAAATTCCACCCTTCGCTATATCGTACTCTAAAATGCGTAGAAAACTCGAGTTTTTAAAAGTGTCTGATGTAAATAATAAGCGAACGATATAGTAATCTCAATGGTGAAATGATTACAAAAGATAAGTTCCAGTACGTGTTGACCTCGATAGTTGAATGAAATTTAATCTCATGAAATAAACAAGAGATTTCTGTAAATACTTTTAAGACAAGATCTTATGTACAAATTTCATATTATTCTGTAATAATCACATTAGTTAAATGTTTGTACAAACTGTTCGTTTTTGTGTCTTAAGATTTTCGCGAATATCTTGCTGAGAAAATATTTCAGTAGATCAGTTTGATTGAAAGCGTGAAATAATATAAGATATAGTCAAAATCAATAATCACCAGGAACTTTCCAAATTCATATTCAGAGAACCCAATACATAATTTAAACTTGTTCTTTTGATAGACAATTCCTCGATACTGTACTCAACTTACATATCAGCGTTAACTACGCGTAGTCCAAAGTATTGTCGTCAAACTTTTTGTACTGGATCACTTTATCATTACCAAGCTTTATTGATTAATGTGTCTACAAGTGGATATTATAGTATTGCATCAGGCGGTGGGTTGTATGTATATGGGTGTTTGTACAATGGCACTTTTGATCCTTTGTTTCCTTCTGAAAACTTAATTGTTGAGAATAGAGAAGGTCCTGTGCTTGGGCAATTTGGAATCAAATATTTTTTTCAATCTACAGAAACATATATTTTGGTTGTAACAACACAATATGCAGGTGATACAGAGGTATTTTGGCTCTTCGGATTCGGTGTTGCACCAATTACTTATAATCAACTAAATCTAACAGGTAAGAACTTGAACTATACATATACGTATAATTTGAAACTTGAGTAATTGAAAGTTTGAATTCAAGTTTCACATTACTGTCTCTTTTTTTAGTTCTTTCTGAAAAGATAAATCATTTATTTTCTGTGGATAGATCTGCCAGTTGTACAATCAACCTATTCATCAGCCTTGACGGATTTTAGTCTAACATATAGTCGTTCATATAATAGTTCAGAACTGATCTACTATTATCAAGCTATTCGAATTAATGTAGCAACGAGTGGTTATTATACCATAGCATCGAGCAGCCCTATGGATACTTGTGGATATTTATACAATGGTACTTTCGATCCTTCATTCATTTCTCAAAATTTAATCGTTGCGGATGATCTTTATATGGGGTATCATCGCCTTGCACTGGTATATTTTCTTCAGTCTGCAGAAACGTATATCGTAGTCGTAACAACAGCGTATCCGTTTGATATAGGCACGTTTTCACTCAATGGATATGGCCCAGGAACCATTGTTTATAATCGACTAAGTACGACAGGTAAGAACATTAGCTGCGCAAGGAATGATCAAATAATCTTGCTAATTTTGAGGAGAATTTCATAAGTAATTGTTACTGCTGGGAACAACTGTATAGTTTGCACAGAAGAATTTTTTTCATTTTCCTCTTATAGAAATATGTAGAATAAGCATCTGACAGTTCAGTCATGATGTCAACTTTTCATCTGTAGAAATCATATGCTCATGAAAGTGATTTCGTTCAGTGATTATTTATGATTAGGAGTATAACGTATACGAGTGGGTAACCAGAAATGACTCGTTTCAATTTCATTTTAGTTGGATTAATCACATCAGAGGAGATTCTAACTTGCTCATCTTAGGCAAGGAACAGGAAACATAAGAATATGTGCAATGTTTTTCAACGAGTATGACATGAAAATAAATCAAAGGCCTATCTTACGAGAGTCGATATATTTGGAGTTTGATTGACTGAACTTATCTACAGACCTTATTGACTTCAGTCATCACTTCCAGAATATTTCGAAACGTTGAAAAGAAGATCTATTTTCTAAATAAAGAGTTTTGAAAATGTCATTTGTTTCGTTCTATTGAATCATCTTTCTGAGAAACAAATAAAATATTCAATAAATAAAGTGCCTAAATGACGAATAGATTCTTTTATGTTTTCCAAATAATCTAAGACACATCGGCTGTTCAATCGAACTAACGCAAAAGCAAATCGTACATTACGAATTTTTCCATACTTCCTTTGGATTCTTCCACAATAGTTAACCTATTTATTTTGTGTGTAGATCCTCCGAAAATACAATCAATCTATTCGTCCGCTTTGACAATATATAGCCCAAAATATTGCCATGACAGTAGTTATTGTTCTGAATTTATGCATTACTATCAAGCTATTCAAATCAATGTTTCAACAACTGGCTATTACAGTATTGCATCAGAAAGTGATATGTATACATATGGGTATCTGTATAATGGTACATTTGATCCTTCATTCATTTCTCAAAACTTAATTACTGGGAATGACAACAACACTGGATATAGCCAATTTAGATTTGTATATTATCTTCAATCTACAGAAACGTATGTTATGGTTGTGACAACATATATTATATATGCTACGGGAAGATTTTCACTCATCGCGATTGGTGCAGGAAGGGTCAATTATGATCGACTAAGTATAACAGGTTAGTACTTGAGCTGTGTGTGATTAAGTGTAGCATCGAAACGTGAAGTTGTTGAAGAAAAGAACGTTTGAAATCAATTACCAGAGAGCGAAACGAAACAATATTTAATTCCCTTGTCTTGAACTTTTATGATATTACAGAAAGTGGCACTGAGAATATGACATTTATCAAGCCCTTTTTCAAGTTTGGAAGCTCGCGAATGTACAGAATGAGTGAATTTCTTTATGTAGGTCTATGACATCTAAAACTCATGTTTTGTTATCTTAAAACCACTTTTCCTTCGTTTCCCAAACTTTTATTATGTGACGACGCTGTTTATCTCCTCAAGGGATAACCGAAACACATCTTACACTCAAATCACATAGATTGCTGAAAGTTTTGACAAATAAAATAGTTTCGCTTTTGTGTTAAGTTTATTACCAGTGCGGTTAATAAACAAGTCAAGTAGGTAACACTAGAGCTTCAAATATAGTCTACCCTTGTGCTTATACCAGTGTCAAGTAGTTTAGCTAAACGATGACAGATGATCCTGTAAGTTCTCAGTGAAAATATTATCATTAATCGTCATTGTTGACGCGAACGAACATTTTGCTCATAAGTGTTGTCTTGTATGAAATCCTTCAGAGTATTTTGTGTCGTTTCATAATCGCTTTTTATTTTTTCTCAAAATACAACTCATTCGTATCCTTTGTCTAGGCTCTTCGAGGATATATTCGATCTATTCGTCCGCCTTGACGAATTCCAGTGCAATATATTGTCATAAAATCTATTGCTATCCACCATCCTATTCCTATCAAGCTATTCAAATCAATGTTTCAACAAGTGGCTACTACAGGATTGCATCAAACAGTACTATGAATACATATGGATATCTGTACAATGGCACATTTGATCCTTCATTCACTTCTCAAAACTTAATTATTGAGAACGACAACAGTGCTGAACATGAACAATTTGGCTTCGCTTATGCTCTCCAATCTGCAGGAACGTATGTTGTGGTTGTGACAACATACTCTGCACGGATTACAGGAGCATTTTCACTCATCATGGATGGTCCAGGAACGGTCAATTATGAACAACTAAACACAACAAGTAAGATCTCCACCAACGTATGTATTGTTAAGTCTTTGAAGATAACAACATTTGACAATGTTAAATAATTCAGTGAGATAAGAACATAAAAGGTCAGAAGTTTTGAGAAAGAATTTTACCATTAATTGTCAGTGGTTCAGCCCTGATGGTTCATTCCGACTGGCAGATCGGATTCTGTCGAAAATCGTTGCTTTCTCAAGAAAAACCGACCGGAACCCATCCAATTTTCAGCACATCCTCTAATCTAATCGTAATCTTGATTTTCTGACTTCTTGGACATCAAAATGTCCATATTTTCTAGAAAATGCATCATAAAATCAATATGTGATAAACATATCTCCCCAGAGAAGACGATTATAACTTATTTAATATCTGCTTTTACAGAAAGTATTCTTTTAGTTTTCAACTTCCCTTCAAATCTCTTTTTAATATTTAGTTGAAAAGCAACTAAATTTGATTGATTATCTGTAACGAAAGAAATGACGTGCAAAATTTCAATAATGGATCAACAAATTAACTTAACGTAGAAGCAAAACATATAGTTGAATATTTGTAGTTATGATTAATATACAAGCATAAAAGGTGTTTATAGGTAGTTCGTCGTAAGATATTGCAGTATAATATCAAATATTTTATTTAAAAAAATGATTCGAAATTCGTCCCAAAGCTTTCAAAAAAGAATCGGTTTTATCGGATTTTTAAGATAACTCTTTAAGATTAGCGTCTGATTAGTTTTGATGTGCATCAGGAATTTCTACATCCTTATCAAATTCGACAAATCTTGACCATTTCCGGATGTCGGATTCCCCCGAATTAGTCTAGAAATGATCGAACCTTAACGAATCCGACTGGTGAATCGCAACAGAAAAACAATGGATTATATCGAAATCGGATTGTCCGTATTGCGCCGCATTTTACACCCTCCCGACAAGATTTGATGTACCTGTTTTGATCTGAGAGGGAGAGAAGAGCATTTTGAACGTATATATTCTCTTACAAAGCCACCTTCAACAAATACGCAGAGAGAAATGGAAAATTTTGAATAATATGTGAAAATCACCTTTTGTTCGTAGAGAATTTTTATGTTAGACTATTACAATCAATTTAGAGAATTCTCAATATTCTATAGATGCGACAAGAAGCAAATTGACATGTTCGATTACTACGAAATCCTTCAGAATATTTTGCCTTTTCACAATCACTTTTATTTGTTTTCTGTAATCAGGCCCATCAATAATTCAATCGATCTATCCTTCAGCCTTGACGGATTTCAGTGCAACATATTGTCGTAAAATCTATTGCTATCCACCATCCTATTCCTATCAAGCTATTCAAATCAATGTTTCAACAAGTGGTTATTACACTATTGTATCAAACAGTAGTATGGATACATATGGATATCTGTACAATGGCACATTTGATCCTTCATTCACTTCTCAAAACTTAATTATTGAGAACGACAACAGTGCTGAACATGAACAGTTTGGCTTCGCTTATGCTCTCCAATCTGCAGGAACGTATGTTGTGGTTGTGACAACATACTCTGCACGGATTACAGGAGCATTTTCACTCATCATGATTGGCCCAGGAACGGTCAATTATGATCAATTAAATAAAACAAGTAAGATCTCCACCAACGTATGTATTGTTAAGTCTTTGAAAACAACAACATATGAGGCTATAACTTTTGACTCAAACTATTTCGAAGCAGGAGGTAGCAGAGTAAGTTTTAGCAAAAGTCCGCTTGAAATAAATAATGGTGAATGGATCCTCGAGGAGAAATAGAGTCCATGTCAACGGTACGTATAGGAAACGATTTGATATTCTTCTCAATTTTATTATTGTACTATTGAATAGCCAAAGAAGTTTTTATTACGAATTCATTGAAAAAATCATACGTGAGATCTATTTTGCACAGAACCCTCTCTTGCCCTGCTTGATTTTTGTTAACAGGACGGAAGAGAGCATAAAAATGTTATGCTATGATAATGTCCATTGAGAAGAAGAATAATGATTTCCGTATGAAAGCTTTTATGTTTCTGTTCATCATGAGAAAAAACTACAGACAAACGCGAGAAATTTGAGCGTTGGAAATCACTTTCTACTGTTAGAAAATCTTCAATACTTTGTAGATGTGACAAGAAGCGAATTGACATGTTCGATTACTACGAAATCCTTCAGAATATTCTGCCTTTTCACAATCGCTTTTATTTGTTTTATGTAATCAGGCCCATCAATAATTCAATCGATCTATCCTTCAGCCTTGACGGATTTCAGTGCAACATATTGTCGTAAAATCTATTGCTATCCACCATCCTATTACTATCAAGCTATTCAAATCAACGTTTTGACAATTGGCTATTACAGCATTGCATCAAACAGTAGTATGGATACGTATGGGTATCTCTACAATGGCACATTTGATCCTTCATTCATTTCCCAAAACTTAATTATTGAGAATGACGATGGCGCTGGAAGCCGTCAGTTTGGATTGACATACTACCTTCAATCTGCAGGGACATACATTGTGGTTGTGACAACATACTCTGCAGCTATTAAGGGAAGATTTTCACTAATCGTAAGCGGCTTAGCAGCTGTTACTTTTAACCATGAGCAATGATAAGACATATTTCTTTACTTTACAATTATTCAAATGCTTCTGTCTTATTTCTGGTATTTTTATGCAACTTTATCTTATAATCCTAATATATTTACTATTGATGTTGTATTTTATGAAAAATCGAGTTTTCAATTTTTCTTATCGTTTTTTCTGTTGGATGTTGTTTATTTAATTTGCTGGTGAATCTCGTATCAAGTTTGCTCTCGATATAAAATAAATATTTCACATATCTTTAAAGCTTATCGATTAATAACGTCCTTGTTAGTTGACTGCGTGTAATAAGGTCATATGATCATGATCAGCTATTGAATGATGTCGATGTTAAGAATAAGAATCGATTTAATACGTATTTTCCTTTTATTAGATGTCATTCCATTTATCTCTGATACTATCACTTGTACCAAGACAAATCGTGTTTAGGGCGTGACTATGCTTATAAAACATAAAACAATAACGTTTTCAAAAAATCGACGAAATTTTACGAAAAGTTTTTCACAAAAATTAAGTCAGAACATGTCATACACTATTGAATAAAGGAGTTTATGTGACAATAAGATATTTTTAAAACTTGACACATGTGAAAAGTCCTCGATAATTCGTTATATCGACTATAAAGTAGTAATACTAACTGAAACCCTGATTTCTGAAAATACTATTTTCGAAGATGTTTACTTATATTAGATAACGATCAGTGTTAAGAGTCAATCTGGATTTTAAGAAAAAAAAACTGGATTTTCATTAACGAAAATAAACATGTATCACATAGAAATTGTCGTCGTCAGTGACCAATGGGGAAAAACCTGAGCTTTCACACTTATACTTACAATTATCTTTCGC